TGCTGATAATACGACCTCAAGGACTCTTTTAAATCGCTCTGTACTGGGATATGCTTTCTAGTTCTACTTCTTCTTCTTATGTTTTACAAGATCTTGTGATCGGTATGACAAAATGATCGGTATTTTATGTAGTTATTTGGTCGTTTAAAAATATGCCCAATATCCAGTTTAAAAACATCCATTTCCATATCTTCCATTTTATTATAATTTCTGTATATAAAAAAGAATGAGGTAGTTTTTCAGCATTTTTTGTTTTTTTCCAATTGGTAAAAGACACCAAAATACATACAAAATTCAGCGACTTCTGTGGCTTGCTTATATCGTGCAAATGGAAGAAAGTGTTCCAGCTAGAAAGGTGTTTGATTCAGTACCTGTAGGTAGAAAACACTGTAGAGGACGTCCGCATCTTCGGTGGAAGAATCAGGGTTAACCAACGATAGGGCTTGCTGGCGATTGCTATTCTACGCGGTCAAGGACGACTCTCGTCTGTAATGACCAACTAGGAAGAGGAAAATACACCGAAATCTCTTATCTCTGAATGAGGTTTTAGGCTGCTAACAATACTTGCTAAGAATTAAGAATTCAATATAGTAATAATTCAAACAGTATTTTATTTAATTTTTTTTTTTCCAGCACGATTCATTTAAACTTCTCTCTATTAGGTGTTTCTGTACTTCTGCTTATTTTTTATTTTGTTTCTAAAAATCTGCAAAGTTTAACTTATATAACACTACATTAAGACCGAAAAGCTTTCGGAAATTCTCATTTAAAATTCGCGCGCTGTATATTTTCCGATATTTTAAGTTTATGTAGTTTGGCAGCACTGTCCTTAATTACTATGCCAAAAATGAGCGCGATCTGTCAGACAGTTCGTTTACGGCAGCTGTTGAAACCAGTTCACCTCAGTAGGGCGTTGCGAAAAAAACAATGGAAAAAAATATTGAACAAAGAGTTTGCATCAAATTTTGTGTTTCGAACGAAATTTCGTGTGCAGAATCGTTGCGAATGCTACAAAAGGCTTATGGGGAATCAGTTTTATCGAAAACTCAAGTTTATGAGTGGTACAAAGCCTTCCAGGACGGTCGTACGACCGTCGAAGACATTTCGCAACGCACTACTGAGGTGAACTGGTTTCAACAGCTGCCGTAAACGAACTGTCTGACAGATCGAGCTCATTTTTGGCATAGTAATTAAGGACAGTGCTGCCAAACTACATAAACTTAAAATATCGAAAAATATACAGCGCGCGAATTTTAAATGAGAATTTCCGAAAACTTTTCAGTCTTAATGTATGCTTGCTTGCACGTTCTAGGACAAAGTAAACCTTTTTTATACTTATTCAATTAATAAAAGTGTAGCCAATTTTTCTTCTAATGTATGGTTTTATTATAAAATGATTTCTGTATATGAAATATATTTAGATTTTCAATCAGTTCTATTTTCCAAAACATCGAACGCACTAAAATCTCTGGATGGGACTAACGTCCAATAACAGCAGTTACTGTAACGACAAAAATCTTATAGTTGAATAAAATTAGTATCGAGGAAGCCGATATTTCCTTAAGTACGCAAGGTTTATGTAATGGAAATAATGGAAATTATTGAAGGGTGTGAAGAGAGAAAAATGAAGTTAGTTTTAACTTAAAAGCAAACTATTCAACTGGAGTTAAAAACGCTTAGTGTTAATAAAATAATAAGTTGAAGTTGATTAGAAATAAATATTAATTACTTGCTTAAGTGATATGGAAATACTAACTCTAACTCTTAGGGAGTTATTTTATGGGGTTTTACGATCTACGAGTAATATATAAAATATATATATATAAGTTCTACTGGCAAAGGATCGGATTTAATTACGGATTACATTGAGAAAATATAGATTAAAAGAAGGTGAATTAACTGTTTATAATAAAGTATTTAACTTATATATTTATTATGGTTATTTGGAGAATATTTAACTGTACATGTTTAAATTCTGCTATTAAAGAACGGAATTATTGCATCTTTTTGAAGCTAATTACGGAATAGATTGGAAAAATATAGGTAAAAAAGAGAGATTAACTTTTATAGTAAAGTACTTAAAATAAATAAGTAATTGATTGCGCTTACGAGGAAAATATTTAGCGCTACATGTCTGAATTCTGCTCTTATAGGACCGGATGTTACATTTTAGTTAGGTAAACATAGCATTTAAGTTATACATACATTTAACTTATAACGTTTGTGAGGAAAAATTTAGCTATACTTGAGCTATATAATTGAAATGGTTTTCCAAGATAAGATAAAAACTTGTGTTTCGAAAAAAATATAACCTTAACGTATCTGCGCTTCAATAGGAGCATTACAAATATGGGTACATAATTTAGAGGTGCTCTGGAGTTGAACTTTTAGGACTACTTAACACATCTTAAGCCGTAAAGACAATGATAGTAATTTTGAAAGAGTTGAACTTGCTTTTCTATGTTCTGTGCTACATAAACAGGAACGTAACAGTTCCAGTTACTGTAATATAATAGTTAATGAAACTATTAATTCAAAGCTCTTCCTTACATTTCATTATATTTAACTGTGTAAAAATTTATTAACATTACTTAGCACTAAGTTTCAGTTTCAGTAACGGATAAGCCTTAACTGCAGTAACGAAGTATGGAAACGAAATTTCATGGTGAACACGCAAAATGCGTGAACCTGAACTTGAACCAAATAATGGTTGCGGACATGAACTGCCAATAAGACAAATGCGTGCGAACAACAATTTTTGCACAGCAAACGTGGAACCAAGACAAATCGACGACGTTGTAATGTCGTTTACGTATTCACGGTCAAAATTTTGTAATAGAAAATTGCCATATCGCTACACTAAAGACAAAAAAAAGAAATAATAAAATCAAAATAAAATAAAGCAAAACTGACCACGCAATGGTCGCGATTTTAGTTGCCGACTTCATATGAATGAGCGGAGTCAGCCTGTAATAAAATTGCCTCAACGACCCACAATGCTGGTAACATGTTAACACAGTTAACAGCAACAGTGGAGCAAAGCCCGGCTTACTGCCTGCTTATAATGGGCTGTACCAAGTCAACAACAGACACAGCAATAGACCAGCAACAATAATAACAGAGACTCGTGGAAGCATTAGTGCACTTTTATGAGATTTTCAGAGTAATTGCATGAGTTTTATGTGTGTTGGGCGGTTTTCTTGTTTTGAGGTGTTGTGTATAGTCCATTGGCTGTTGTTGTTGGAAAATTGAAAACGAAAGTGATTTTACATGCCGGCAACAACAGCAGCAACAACAACAACAATAAAGTAGTACTCAGCTTAGTCAACTTTGAGCCCCAGTTCAGTTTATATTTCGGTCAAAAAATATGTCGGTGTTTTTCTTCAAACGATTTTTATTTGTTTTTATTCTGTTAAGTTTTGCATTAATTTTTTTCTAGTTTCAGTTTTTGTAGTTGGAGTTTAACAGTTTAGTTTAGTATAAAAGACGCTGCAGTATTGCAATAAAGCAAACAGTTTTCTTTGTGATTCAAACAGCACAGACCTTCTTAACTTAAAACTAAAAACCAAATTAACTACAAAATGTTTAAGTTGGTAAGTTCACTATGTTTTACATATACTAGAATCCTTTAATTGTAAGAGTCCTTTATGTTTCATTTCTAGGTGGTGTTGTCTGCTTTGCTTGCCGTAGCTGCTGCTTATCCTGGTTACTTGGAACATGCTCCAGCACATGTAGTTGTTGCTCCTGCTACAACTATTGTACATGAACCCGCCTTGGCCAAAGTAGGTGCTATTGTTAAGAGCATACCCACCGCTGTATCACACCAAAGTCAATCTATTGTGCATAGCTCCGCTCATGTAGTCCAACCTATTGTTGCTCCAATTGTCAAAACTACTTTAGTTCAATCTGCACCTGTGATTAAGACAATTGCCGCTCCAGCTTTAACAACTGCTTATGCTGGTCCAGCTTTATCGCTCCATGGTGGTTGGGGACATGGCGGTTGGGCTCATGGTGGTTGGGGTCACAGCGGTCATGGCTGGTAAATAGTTCATCCTAAGGCTTAAGCATGTTCTTTTCAACATGAAACTAGTGGTACAGGCAGTTGGGCGGTCATTTTTCTATTTTTTAAGTTGTAAATAATTTTCATCCCCACAAAAAAAATAGAAGTTTTTGGTTTATAAAAATCGCGACTGATAAAAAAAATTGTTCTTAAAAAAAATAAATTTTAATTTTTCAATGAAAATTTCAATTGTTTTAATTTTTTTTTAATTTTTATTTAAAGTATTATAAATAGCTGAGAATACAAAAATACAATTTGATTAGAGTAAACATTTATTAAAGGTTCCAAGAACGTTTGGGTCTTCGTCCCGAAGCCGTATAAGTTTTGTAAATATGAAACTTTTTTGCAGAGATGTCTCGTTCTTATGTCTTATTCATATAGCAAAGCCTTTTAAAGTATTCACCTTAAAATGTTTGTAATAAAAGTCGTTTGTCATAGTTTTTTCTACATTAATTTTTCAATTATTTTGAATAATTAGACTCATTATATCTAAAAATAGCGGAAAAAATTTGCTTACGATCTGGAAACGACATGCTGCATTAGCAAGAAAACCGTCGAAATGGACTTGTCCAAAGGCATTCTATATAAATAAACCAGAACTGAACTAGAAATGTTCAAAAAAAGGTCCGGTACAGAAATATTCAATCATAACAGAGCTTTCTTCCCCAATATATATTTATTCTTTTACCACATTTCCTCTCTTATTTGTCTTTTTTTCGCATTTTTCTTACTAGTGTTGTAACTTTTGTTTGTTTTAATGTATAACAGATGAACAGATGATATATATTAGTTCCCTTAGATCCTGTGAGGAGCATGGGTCACATATGAACAAATATACGTGAGTTAAGCTAAGTACTGATCGCTTGCATAACTTTAGTGAAGAAGTTTACATTGTATTTCATTTAGATTAAATTTAATAAGGCAATTAAATAATCAAATATGTAATATATATATTATTTATAATTTATAAATAAAACATATAATTAAATTACTTTAGTAGATGATGTTAAAGACTTTTTTATTAATATTGTTACATACTACTGATTTATAGTGAAAACTATAGATATCTCTTGTCATGACCCCGCAAATATTAAAGAGATGAATATGGTAGTTGAAAGATATGGATTTTACTTTCTGTTAATATTTTAATATATAACATAATATGCAAGTACATACAAGTTTATATATGTGAATGAAATATAGTATATATATACTCACAAAAAAAATCTCATTCATTTTTTTATCCCATTTTATTTTTCAGAATTATTCAAAATTTTTTAAAATATTTTTTTTTGTGGTACTGTTACTAAGCCCAAGTTATTGCAATATATCTTATAGATTGCGGTTTCGCTTGTAATGATAATAATAAAAATGTACTTAAGATTATTTTCCTAGATACAAAAATTCTGATATGCAAAATTTAACGACTTTTGCATAAAAATTAATGAACATAGATACTTGTATATTGTACCTAACTATAAGACTCTCTATGAAGACAATACTCAAAATTGACTTGATGTTTTGCATTTTGAGAAGTTGTAAATTTGAGTCCAACAATAGGTTTGAATCCAAAAACCAGTGAATAAAAGTGAAAGAAAAACGTGAAAATATTTTGTATGCGTGAAATATTTTATGCATTTTTAAATAAAAAATTAAAATTTCAGAACGGATATCTAGAACTCTATGCCGACCGATATCGATCAATTTCGAGAAAATTAAATTTCAGTGCGTAAAATTCATTAATAAAAACTTAAAAAATTACAAATATACGTGGTTTGCTTCGTTAATAATTTTACTACTCAAAAGAAGAAATACTTGAATCAGATTCAAAAAAAAAAATTCAAAAAAAAATAAATAAAATAAAAATAAAAATAAAAATATTTACAGAGAAAAGATCAGAATCAATGCGACAATTCTCCAATTTGTTGTTAAAAATAAACATTTTTTTCAGTAATTTTTTAATATTTTATTTTTTAATAGTTTTCTAAGCCTTAAAAAATTTTGACAAGAAAACAATCAAACAGTTGTCGCAACAATGGTTCCGCCTCTGCTCCATAAACCAGACGTATCTGCAACCGAAATCCATCCACAGCTGTATTTGTATCTGTATCTGTGGCAATCGACTGTTAACACTTCTAACTGAATTCTCTAGCAGCTTTTGTAATTGCTTTTTTATGTAATTTTTATTGTTGAAAATACTTCAAAAAAAAAAAAAATATATATATATATAATTTTTTTTTCGTAATTATTTATTATTACTTAATGTTTTGATTAACGACAATTGATTTTCAACGACTTAAAGTGCTGAAGGCTCTCGTTTTCTATTCATCTATCTCTAAGCATATTTAAATGCTGTTGTTAAATAAAAATCGATTTTTATGCCGCACTGATTTTGAATCTTTGAATCTTGTTACTCTCATAGCGTATTCCCCCCTTACACCTACAATAAATTATTTTCATAGATATTTTTAAATAACTAAGCAGCTTTTGATATGAAATTACTATATTTAGCAAAGCTGCTCTTATTTGCCGTCAAGCGTTCCTTTTAGCAATATCCGGGCGATATTTTTTCTTGCATAATTGACTTAGAATTGCTGTTATTATACTATCAGTTATTATACTATTTCTTTCATTATAGGGTAATGAACGTATAATTTTTACTATGATTATTACTAGATACTGCACTTTTGATTCATAACTAAATCTTGAACCTTATTCGAATGATCATTGATCAATTAAAATTGAGGCTAACACTTGGTATGTGATCTAGTTTTTGCATATATGGCGGGTAAATATTTTAATATCGTATTATCATTAATATACATAGTAAATAATATAAAATTTAACAAAATACATATCATTTATTTTTTAAGGTTTTTTATGCAAAGCATATTTTATTTTTCATGTTATTAAAAAATATTTTAAGTATTTTACTCAGTTAACAAGAATAAAATTGGTTTTAACAGCTGCAAAAATTCAACGCCTATCAGATGTAAATTACAATTAAATTAAGTAATTAATTTAATATCATCATTATTAATGATAGCATAACTCTTAAATAAATTTTTTTTCAATTCTTTTCTCTAAGATTCAGAGTTTTGACAATTATTCTGATACGTTTCAATATTTCTGGTGTTAAACAATTTTCTAGCTCCCCACTTTTTTTCTTCTGTATTTCAAATGCGTCTAGGATGTTTTATACTTTTAACTTACTATATTTTATCTAGGCTTGTTTTTGGTTTTCCTAACACACTCAACAATATCTCCAGCATTAACATTGGCCAGACTCTCGCCTTTACAAATCCTTCTGGCTAGTTCTATCTTGAACCTCTTCTGCTTATTATTACGAGATTTTGTGGATTCAAGCTTATTAAGAAGAACTCGTTCCTCCCTCCACTTCCAATTAAATTCTGTCTAATTATATTCTCAGAACTTAATTTACTGAATGAAAAAGTACTTTAAAAAAACCCTAAGACCAGCAATACAAATAAACTTTTAGTAGTACCAACGCAGTCTCACATTTTCAGTCTTCACACAACTTCATATAAGAAATTAAACTAATCCACATAATATATGTATAACAAATAGAACCATAAAGCAATTATAAAATAATAAAACCACGGTTGCCACTTGAAAATTTTTTTCTGTACCAAAATTGGTTTAAAAAGGTACCATTTCTGTAAAAAAAGGCCCAACATTTTTTTGAACCTTTTTGTTTTCTCGTTCTGTGTTTTTCATAGTGTTATAAATGAACAAAATATAAAATAGTGCAAAGTTGCATTTATAAAAAAAATTAATTTGAAATATCCAAAAGTACCAATTTTGGTACCAAAGTACCATAAATGGCAACCGTACCCTAAGAATGGAAAACTTCTAAGCAGAAATTTAGAATGAAAATGACCACACTTCCGCACAAATTCTTTATGATCTCTTCAGTAATATATGGAATTCTAAACAATATCTAACAACTACAAGAACTATAGTAAATCGTTTAATATAATCATTTTAAATTGACCACATAAATACTCTACGAATCATAACTGAGCAATGCGGTGAGTAAAACCCATCTTTATCACTGAATGCTTTGCTAAAACGTGGATGGTATTGATTTACAATGCTATCTAGCTAACTGTAGAAGCGAAAAGACAAAACTTATTAACACCCAATTTAGGGACTGTACAGAATACGTTAAATATAGAAGCCAAACACGCAAACTTTTAAAAGCCAAATTGTGAAATAGGGTATTATACACTCCTGTTACTACAATATTTGCTGTGACGCTTAGCTTCATTTCTTGTTGAGTAACTTTTATCAATAGAGGGTCACTATAGAGAATCAATCGTATAACCTAACGATATCATCCTTCTTGCACATAATAAAGAATATATACAAAGTAAAATAAAATATCTAGTGTGTGGATTATGAGTTCATCGAAATATGTTATTTCATAATGTATGCTATAGCATCCTTGTAGCTTTATTAAAAGGATTAAAAACGAATTTTAAAAAAATATATATCAATCAATATATTTAATAAAAATTATTGATTAATTTCAATATTTTGCGCCTATTTGTACTAATATTGAGCCCTTAATGTCATCTAAAAAATGCCGTATAACATTAAATTGTGTTAAGCTATTCACAACTTAATATTTATATAAAAAAAAATTTCCAGTTGCTGATGTATTACTATAAACAATTTTATATTGAAATCAGTGTGGCCGCATCCCTGAAAAATATAATGCTATATCGGATTTAAAAAAATGCTAAAAAAATGCTAAATAAATGCTAAAAAAAATGAAACTTTATGATGTTTTAAACACCAAATAAGAACATAATTAATAATATTTTATTTATTTACAGTACATTACATTATCAAAAATTTAAAAAAAAGAATTTCTATGTAAATACATCTTCCAAATTGATATCATATAATACTTCCTCATCTTGAACGGAGTTTCGTAAGACATTATTTTCGTTACTGAATTTTTTTATGAGTTCGAGAATAGAAACCATTGTAAACCATAGTAAAGAATAGAAACCATTGCTCGATAAGGATTCTGTTTCTAAGTTTAGTTTTTACTAAATTCATTGCACTAAAC